TGAATATAGCCTAAAAATGGCCATTTGGGACAGCCCTAATCAACACCTGATGACCTGCTGACTGAGGCGGCACTGGAGGGACGGAATGAGCTTTTCCTTTTGGAAAACTAAACAGTTGTTAATTTCATCCTCACCAAAGGTCTAAGCGAGATCAAGAGTAGCCTACTAGAGAACTGGACACAGGTACATGGCATCATACACAGAATCATCAACCTATGTACTTATGATGATCAAAGCCTTGTGACACACACACACACCAGTTGTCTCTTCCTCCTGGTGTTTCATACAATACACGATGATGATTAAAAATAAACAAATGGAGAGACAAGGCGCACTGGCCCACCTACTTATAAAATTTAGTCTCACCCTTGCTAAAAATAATCGCACACCATTGTAGTCCTGCTAGGACAAGCCACATAAAGACAAGATTTATACTTTATTGGAGGTATTTTCTACTGTGTGTGTCATCTGGACCCATTTTGGTTTTAGCATCATCTGTTTTGAACAATAAAATGTTCAGGCCCATATTCAGTCAATAGGACTAGTTCATGGGACAAAGTTTATCAGTGCTTAAAGTCTGGGTACAGTAGCAATAAATATGTGTTCCAGGTTTATCACACCACAGGAACATTATTTAAATGTGCAAAGCTGACTTAAGGAAGTCTGCAGTAAAAAATAGCTGAGTAGAAAGTCATATTCTCTGGCTCCAACCCATCTTCATATAATCACAGAAAAGAATAAGGAAAAACATTACCCAGCAGTCCACCCTGTTTTTAAGACCACAAGCAGTAAAAACGGAAGTCAGTCTCTACTATTTATCTCACTGACGGTTGGCAGAGTGAACACAGGTAAAGCAGTTACTCTAGCACCCAGGTATGAAGGAGTGGCTCTGTATCCAGCGGTCTCCTCCCAGCCCCACCTGTCCGAATGTGGGAAAAAGAGGGGGAGGATTGTGAGAAACGGAAAGAGAGGTGTGCCGCCTCAAACCTTTCACAAAACAGGTAGTTGTTAGTGAAACAGACACTCGGTGATTGGAGGCAAACATTGGATCATGGGCTTAGGAGAAGGTACAGCTATTTTCTGAGGAAACCACAGAGGTAGGAGCATTTTAAAAACATTTTTCTAGTGATTTGACAAGTGCAACTCAGTATACGAGAATTCAGTTATGCTGTGAACATTCACACAGATTAGAAGATGTCATTTGTGTGGGGTTATCTGAGGTGTTCTTGAAAAAAAAGTGGTTGTCTGTAAAGAGGAGATTACAACACAACTTTCATCAAAGTGAAAAACAAGACAAACATGTGATACTGTTTTGCTGGCCTGAAAATAGTTTCTTTTCCAGATCAAACTACTAAAAATATATTCTCACATTGCTCCTTGCTATATTTTCTAATTCATAAATTAAAAATTTTCAGGAGCATATATAATATAATATATTTTTAGTCAAAGTGTCTGCTAAAAGCCTAAACCAAAATCTAATCAAACAATAAGCCAATGACTAAATGAGTGATGACCAGAAAATGCAGCTGTCATCTTTTACTTGTGTATACTTGCAACTGTATGCTGAAAGAATTTTTTTAGGTGACCTGACAAAGTAAAGCTGGGACCACAATACAGGACAGTCAGCCTGATTTGCCCTTCCTGACAATTGTGGGGGCATTCCCTGATGACTACCGTAATGTGAGATGTCGAACGACCTAATCGTTGTGTCTCTGACAGGATTGGAGGGCCCCCGATCTTGAGGCCTATGTATGAAGCATGTTTGATATTTACAACTTGAAATCATATAGTGTGGGGGCAACAGCGATTGAATCCTGGCCAGACACCTGCAACAACCAATGATAAGGAGCTGGCCAGGAAGTGTCACAACAGCTTGTAGCATCAGTTTGGACTAGCCGCCTATTTATTTCAGACTCACCTCCAGTAAAATGTGTAAGCAGTGTTGATTTTGTCTTTTCAGCCAAGACTTCATCCACAGTTTTTTTCCTCTGTGCAAAACATAGTGCACATAAGTGCCACTGCTTGATTACAAATGCCTGCCTCCATATTTGTTTTGTTCTGAAATCATGTTTGATCACTGAGTTTCTGTGAAATCCCTAGTCCCTTTAATTGGCGTCTCTGAAATTGTTCAGTAAAAATGGCAAGTCCCGCCTCTTGACTGAATCATCTGTGCTCTTAAGATTAAAATATGAAAAAAATCAGTTAAAGTTGTTGTTATGTCTGTGGTCTCAAGTTTTTAAAATCGATTAAGATTAAAAAATCCTCTAGTGTGGGCCCAGCCTAAGCTGATTTGCTAAACTCTTACTCACTATCAAGGCCCAGTATACTAAGCACCCAGTAACTGTCCACTGTACAGCTGCAAGTGAACCGAGTTTTTCTGTAGTTCTCTCAGCTCTAAAAGAGTCTTCTCTCTAGCCCACTGCATCATGTGAATTTCAAGGGGTTTATTCTCCCAAACCTTCATTCATATCATATCAATTATTTAAGATTATCAACTACACTTTTACATGAAAAATACGGGGAGTCACATTTAGTGGTATATACTGTAATTGCTCTTTCAATGTGCCAACCTCATATTTAAACAGAATTTACAGGAAATAGGAATTTTGGATCAGACCCGGAACTAGCTCATAGCCAAGGTTAAACTATTATATCTGGAATCAGGTCCAAAAAAAACAAACAAAACTGGACTTGGTGTCATACGTAACATAGGATTTTAAAACTGTGGGTGGCTGTGGTGCCAGCGGTTTGATCTTTTATTGCAGTGAGAAAGAATTAAACATTAGAAATTGGGTGCTCACATTACAGATTACTTCACTAGGAATCTGCATTTCATTGACCAGCGCAGAGCGTTGAGAGATTTAGTTGCATTGCATTACAACAACAGCTGAGCCAGATTCTACAGTTTTGCCAGATTGTGGGCTACTTTACAACATGCTTCTCCCAGAACAATGCTCAATCTGCGACAGGTCCGCGTACACCTCCTGCTTTGACCGTGACTGATAAATATATCCCCAGTGATGGTGCAGTGGTTGCAGAACCACCTTCTTAACATTCTAAGCACAGTATACAGTATGGAAGCCAGTTGCAATGTTGTATATATCCTCCAGGTGGAGCAGTGATTGATTTAGTTTACTGTTAATGGAAAGAATAAAGTAGGCTTTTTCAGGCACAACCATAGTAACGTTCTTGTGAACCCAATATCGTGTCTCGTTTTGTCTTGTGAGCTACCCCTACGTAGAACCTGTTGTTAGCACTCAGTGGTCCATAGGTGTAGGCTATGTCTATGTGGTTGGAGAGCTCTGTGTGTTCAGCTCTGCCTCTGACATAAAGTCATCTGAGCCAGTTTTAATGTGAACACAGTTTCACTCCACAGTGTGCACCAAAACTGCACTGAGCTGCCGTATCAGCCTAAACAGCAATGCGACCTTCCGTAGGCTGCTTGCAGTCCATAGGGGAGCGCACAGCCTAACTCTCCCTCCCTCTCCCCCCACCCACATGCAGGTGAGCCAGAAGGAGACTTCCAAACTGCACAGTGTAAATTGCACACTGGCTACAGTACTGATCTGTAATGGCTTTCTCAAACAGATACTTTAACATTATTAACAGCAGCAGGCTCTATAAGTGAGTTTTCAGAGAACACGTGGCACAGCACATAACTCCTTAACAAATAGCATGTCATTGCGATCTTAGTAACCATATTAACAGGAGCTATTGCACACAGATATACAGTTTATAAGATGTAACTAACAGGAACAAAATAGTAGCCACTAGTTGCTGACTTATGTCATTGGGTTCAACAATGATTGTGAATATGGTGCAATTAGATTTATTATCCTCTACCTTGAAACATGGTGAGATCAATAGCTTGCCTGGCAACATCCATCTGTCCATCCATTTTCGTCTACTTATCTGAGATCAGGTCACAATGGCAACAGGTTCAGTAAGGTAGTCCAGACGTCCCTCTCCCCGGCAACTTTTTCCAGCTCCTCTGGCAGGATTGTGAGGCATTCCCAGACCAAATGATGTATTCTCTGGGTCTGCCTCGGGGTCTCCTACCAGATGGATGTGACTAAAAAACCTCCAAAGGGAGGTGCCCCGGAGGCATCCTGATAAGATGCCCGAACCGCCTCAACCGGCACCTTTCGATGTGAAGGAGCAGGCGGTTCTATTCTGAGCCCCTTCTGGATGTCTGAACTCTGCACCCTATCTCTAAAGTCCAGCCACCCTGCAAAGAAAACTCATTTCGGCTGCTTGCATTCGTGATCTTATTCTTTTGGTCACTACCCACAGCTCGTGACCATAGGTGAGGGTTGGAATGTAGACTGACTGGTAAATTGAGAGCTTTGTCTTTCAGTTCAGCTCCTTCACCACAATGGCCCGGTACAATGTCCGCATTACTGCTGATGCTGCCTGTATCCGCCTGTCAATATCATGCTCAATTTTACCCTCACTCGTGAACAAACTGCGAACCTTGAGATCCTGTCCATGAAAAACACCTGAAGTACTCAGCTATATCTCATGTCATTATAGTCCTTGTTTCTTGTATGGCGCCCTCCTCCCCTGAGGGTGAAGCTCATACTCTCCCTGGGCTCCACTGAGTTGGCTCTCATGTGAAGCCATCTCCTTTTTGCCCATTGTACAACCAAGCCATTCCTGTTGCCGACTTGCATTTTTGACCAAGATCAAGCCACCTCCTTTTTTTCAGCATAGAACTCTCAGCATTGTTTTTACATTCATTCTGATGTGTCAACTTTCATTTGGCTTAAGGCGCTCTACAAAAGTATAGGAGTTTTAGCTACATGGTAGGGAAAACCTTGGTAATCATGTTAACATATAAAACAAGACAATGCAGAGGGACTTCCCCACAGCTGTGGTCTTGACTGTTCTCAAAATAAATTCCCAAGTTCGCTTTGTTCGAGACCGAAACAAGACTGAGTAAAATGTGGTTGATTCTGAGATGAGACCAAGACCTTGAAAACTAAAAATAAGTTTCAGGACACTGCTATGTGCCTAAGCGAGTGATATATGCCAGCCAACATGTGGGCAGTGTGGACAGTTGGATTAATTAGTAGAGCAGCTTATCAGTATCACTGTAACCCTTATGAGTTGCATTTTTGATGATGTTCATGCCAGCATGTAAATGACAGTAAGTGGGTTTTGATCGAAATGTAGTGTAAATTTTATCTGAATTTCAAAGAAATCCGCAAAATAAAATACTAATAAATGTGCATTTCCATCCATTAGGAGGCAACTACTTGCTCATCTGTGTAAATTTCCTGGTTTGGATGAGTTCCTTTTTCAGGCATTCCTCATTGTAGAGTGGCTTTATTTAGCAGAAAGGATTGAAGGGTGTTGTCTCCTTAGTTAGCAGAATCCTCCAATAAACTACTAAGGTGAAGGGACTGCACATCCTGAGGAACTTGTTACCAGGCATCACCGTTGTTGGGGGACTCGAGTCACATGACTTGAATCAAGTCAGACTTAAGTTGCAAGTTTGAGGACTTGAGACTTGCTTGACTCACACTGGTAAAAGACCCAACTTTGACTTGATACTCATGATTTGAGACTTAGACTTGAGATGGATTACTTGAAATTACTTCACTTTTGATAAAAATGAAACATCAGCATTTTTCTAGATACTGAGAAGATATTTTTGAAGCACAATTAGGTGAAGCACTTATTTCTCATGACATATTTTTATTTAATTGGCATTACTTTGTAGAAACCGGTTTTCACTTTGACATTAAAAAGGTTTTTTTTTATAAATCTTTTGTCAAAATAGCCAAATTATATTGACCACAACTGATTTATAAAATCAATAAAAGGGGAAAACATCCAAAGGGGTGAATACTTTTTATAGGCACTGTATCATGTTAACTTTTTTACTTGCATGCATGTAACAATGAATACATGAATATTATGCACATCTATAACAACTTATCCCAAATATGGTCTCCCATATATTCTATATGGCAGTAAAAATTATTTACACGTATTTCCTCCACAGAGTGTTGGGGGTCACTGTGACATCCACAATTGTTCCTCATCGCTATAGTTCCTTGAGTACCTCCTGGGCCCACAGGAACATGAACAGTAGTTAAACCACCTGCCACCACCACGGTAGCACCACTTTTACACTGGAGCACCTCCACCCAAAACATCATCAGCCATATCTTCCTACTCACCTCTGCCTTGGCAAAGCCCTGACCGGGTCTCCTGGTGGGCCTACCTCAGCACTGCGACATGAACAGCTGTTGACATTTACGCCCTCAGGAGGGAACAGTGAGAGCAGCTATACGGGTATGTATGCAAGCAAAAGACTTCTGAGATCTGGGAGACTAAGTTGGCTAAAGGAAACAGATAAACCCCTTCCAGATAGATGGTGGATACAGAAAGTATTCAGAGTCCTTTACTTTTTGCACATTTTATGGTGTTATGGATTCAGATTTGAATGGATAAAATTGCTATTTTTACGCACTATTATACACTTAATCAGCCATGATGTTCAGTGAAACCATGGTCATAGAGTTGTCTGAAAATTTATCAAGAATGAAAAACTGAAATCTCCTACTATTAAAAGTACTCAGACCCTTCATTTAGTACTCCTTTGGTAACAGCTGCAGGTGTTCTTGGATATGTCTGTAGAATCTTTGCACACCTTGACTTGGGCAGGTTATCCTGTTCTTCATGGCAGATCAATGGTCTGCGAATGCCCCACCATGATGCAGACTGTGGTATGTTGTGTAGTAGGCTACAGAAATTCAGTCAGGTACATGTTATATTCATTAGGAATGGTGACAATGCAGTTTGTCATCACAAACAGTTCTAAGGTAATCTGCAGAGCCTCTTTTTATACAATTTTATTTAATCACAATCAAAAAGTAAATCTCATGAAAATAAAAACAAAAACAATTTCAATAGTGTGGTACTGAAAAAAGTAGCCTAGAATCAGTGTATCCTTATTAAAAACCTAGATCCAGGGAGAAAAAGCTTAACATCCAGCTCATCTGGTCTTTAGACTGACTTGACTTGATCAGCTTTTGTCATAATGGTACATGAAAAAACTTGATGGAAATCAGCCAACAGCAGTTCTGAATATTCAGCCAAATCATTATTTGGTTCTAGCTTCTCTAGTTTAAGAGTTTCATGCTATTCTCTGGTTTATATCATTGCAAAGGGAAAAAACTGGACAAAAAAATTTGATGAATTTTTTTCAGTGATTGAAAAAAATAGTCAGTATAACAGTAAGAACAGTCAGAACAACTGTAAGCAGTTTACATGAGTTCAGTCCATGAGCACTACAGCCATCAAACCACAGTAGTTTTAGTGCAAACAGTGCAACATTATTCTATATCAGTGTTAAGTGATCTCTTCATGGAGTGTTATACTCTACGTTTTTAGCTTTGATATTTGTAGTGCTTGTGATTTGGGTATAAGGGGCTTTGTTGCTGATTTGGCTGCTGGGGTTTTTCAGAAGTTGTTCTTCCTCCATCAGCTGGTTTTCCATGACTCTGTGTTGGAGGGTAAGGGTTGCGGTGAATGAGTCATGTGCATGTCTGACATTAATGCTTTCTGTTTTTTCCCTTTCTTCTCTCTTTTCCCTTATATTTATGTGATAATATAAACCTGCCTTTTCTTTCACTCTCTTGGATTGTTTCTCTTTCCATTCTTTCACATTCACCCTAATTAAACTCCAAATTCTCATCTCTTCACCACACTGCTTTCTTTTTCTTTTTTCATTTCTCTGCTTTTCCCCTTCTCCTCTCAGGGAATGTAGACTGTGGCCAGAGCTTGTCCTTCCATGAGGTGCATGACCAGCGTGAGGCAGAGATGAGGGCTGCAGCCGAGGAGCTGTCCAACAGCAGCAACAGTGTTGGGAGTGGAGGAGGTGGCAGCAACAGCAGCAGCACTGTGCTGCAACGCCTCCTGCAGGAGCAGATGAACCGAAATTATGTGCTACAACAGCAGCAACAGCAACAAGGAGGAACGGGAGTCAGTGGAGGAGTAGGGGGAGGGGGAGGTTACTCAGGACAGGGACAGGTAGGCCCCTCTGAAGACCACTCTGTGACCCCCCACATCGCCCGCCAGGAACCCCAGGGACAGGAGCTGCAGACAGACAATGGCTTGGAGAAGCTGGGCTCCACAAGAGCAGGAGGAGGGGGTGGGAGCAGTGGAGGTTTAGGGCCTGGAGGAGGAGGCAGCAATGGAGGTGGTGGGAGCAGTCAAGGGCAGTGCCCAAACCCAGAGGACCTCCCTACCTATGAAGAGGCCAAAGTGCAGTCACAATACTTCCGTGGCCATGGTCCTCCTCCTCAGCCTCAGCAGCAGAACAATCAGCCCCAGCAGCCTCCTCTACCCGCCTCAGCCACCTTCTATGTCACTGGGGTGACCAGTACCAAGGTGCGTACTGAGGGTCGCCCCACTGTACTGCGAGTGAGTGGCACAGGGAAGGTGCACCAGGATGATGGGCTGAAGGACTTGAAGCAGGGACACGTCCGGTCTCTTAGTGAACGACTTATGCAGCTCTCTCTGGCCACCAGCGGTGTGAAGGCACATGCTCCTGTCACCAGTGCCCCACTGTCCCCTCAACTGCCCCCCCCAGGGCCACCAGGTGACCACTACAAGCCACAGCATCGCGGTCCACCTCCAGACTATCCCTTCAAAGGAACAGGCTCACCTAGCAAGCAGCAGGAGCCTGGAGGCCATTTATACCAGGAGCAGAGATCAAGGGAGCACTCGAGGGAAGTTCCCCATGTTCGATACCAGCCCCCACCTGAGTATGGTTCTTTCAGGTAAGCAACATGCACACATACAGTCTTTCATCCACATACGCATACTGGTAGGAGGGGCAAGTCTGGAGCAGGTGAGTAGAGTGGAGCCTGAGTGTCAGGAGGGCAAGAGAGCCTGGATGCCTCTGTGAAGATTCTGTGCAATACACACCAGTGGAGAAGCTGAAAGTTGGCAAATAGTTGAATAACACAAAAAGTATAAAAGCTAACAAAAAGAAGAAAAGAAATAGCCCTCAAGTCCTTAAGAAGTTTGAACAAATTTTCTAGCCCAAAGCATCTAGAAGTTGATGGCAACCAAAGAAAAGTAATGTGGCCAAAGGAAGGAGAATAACAATAGTAACTGGTGTACTGGGGCAGCACACCATCAACACCGGCTGCGGCCAGACCATGTGCCTGTAGTCCTCGTCCTGAACAGCTAAAATGTCCATGTAGTCCTCGAGGAGGCATTTCAGCTGGTTCCATTTTTATTCCTCCTCCAATGAAATTTTATTATGAACACTTGTTCAATTTAAAATGTATTTAAAACATTTTTTTTCAACCTCCATATTTCTTTTTCAGATGTATAATTTTTTAGGTAACACTTTACAATAAGGGTACATTAATTAACCGTACTTAATGCAGTAATAAGCATTAACTAATAGGTAACTAATGCATTTATTAATCATGTACTAATGTTTTTCATGTTAATTAAAGTATTACCTCATACATTATTTAATAGTTTTTAACGACACTGCTAACATTTGTTGATGCAGTAATAAGCATTAACTAAACGTTAAATAATACAATAATAAGCATTGCATTCAACAACTTAAATGTCTCTTGGTAATACTAGTAAATTGTCAATAAAGATATTAACATTTATTTCACGAAGTTCACAGCTTAGCAGTTTCATTAGGAGAAGGCTGTTTTAATGTTCATTTAAGCATAATAATTGTCCACTTACTTGTCCATCCTCCAACCAACGAATTCACTTTGTCCTCGCTCCACGTTCATCTAAGGTGGTATCTTCCAGCTTCTGATTGACTGAACACACATGATGCAGGTATGCAGCAGTGGGCAGGGCATGGATAGTTGGAAAGCATGCATGGTGGTAGCTCTCGAGGACCTGACTTGCCCACCCCTGCTGTATACTGTAAGCATTACTTACTCGTAATTACGCATTTATTAATGCTCTTTAAAAATGTATAACAGTAGTGAGTAACCATTACTTAACCTTAATTAACCATTTGTTAATGCTCTTTGAGACGCTTATTGTAAAGTGGGAAACGTATATGCATGAACTAACACTTCATAAATGTATCACAGTGGTGAATAACCATTACTTAACCTT